AGAGAGGTGCAAGGTAGGTACCTTGCACCTCTCTGGAGAGGTACCTTTCGCCTCTCTGGAGAGATACCTTTCACCTCTAGACGCAGGCGTAGCTGGGCGCTAGACCGGACTCGTAGCCCACCCATTTAGAGCTGACCCCCCTGGCACCACCCCAATGTAGGCATATATGGCATACATGGAGTCTATGGGTAATGGGTTGAATCCCACCACCAAGTGTTGAAGGCAGTCATTCATCGTCTTGGAAACGCGAGATGGCTTCAAACACGAGCGGAGGCGCTCGAGTCCAATACGCGGTCACGTGAACCCCAACACTCGACCGCCTGGCCAAGGTGGCCATTTGAAGGGCCAAGCAGGCGCCTCCTGGCAGGTGCCGCTTGAGGGGAGGCCGTTCCCAAACAGCAATTGGAGGGGTCTGGGGTCTCAAATCCGGTTGGGAGATCTCAATTCGGCTGTTTTGTTCAGCGTCCGGGCAGGCCGTTCCCACCCCAAGGTAAAGAGCCCAGGACCATCCTGTTCGGGTGTCCTCAGCCTGGCTGGACTACCGACATACCCTAAACATCTTATATAGATCTTCTTAGGAATCTGCATCAAACAACCAAACAGGATGGTCGTGGTGGGTGTGCACTTTTATAGGGAGATCCCCAGCCAATGGGTCTTCTTGTGAGGGCAATACACACCATCTGTCATGCCTTGTGTCTGGAGTTTGCATTTGGCAGCACTGGTGGTGTATGAGTACCTATGGTCGTCTAGGAGTCTAGGTTTCCTGCAGAGTCAGGTTGCTAGTGCAGCTTCAGTGCTGGGGTTCTTGGAGAGAAGGTCCAACTCTTGACAAGCCTGATCAAGCCCTGATGGGATCTCAACGCCCTGCTCTGATGATCGAAAGATTGAAGATGACAGAGTGTGCCCCGGGTGGGTGGAACTGTTCCAGTTCCAGTTCCAGCGGTCACTGGGGAGGGGGGGGTTCCAGTTCCAGTGGGGAACACTATGGAAGATGATGCAAAGCACAAAGAAATGTCACTTAAGGCCCTCTGCGTCATAGAGCGACCACCCGTTTTCCCAAGGTAAGTCTTGTGGGCCTACCATTTCAGGCTAAAGCCTCCCAAACCAACCCACCTCCAGCCAATAGCCATCTCCGAGTTCGTCGCGAGTGGCCTCAGAAAGGGCAACCAGTTTAGACCCATGAGGAAATCTAGCTAGGTATGACATATGACCTTCTGGCAGCACCCCTGGTCTTTTCTTGGGCGTCATATGGCAGTCCCAGACGGGTCGTGTCTAGGGATGAAATAGGTCTTCCTACTCCATGCAGTCTGTGAGCTCTGCTGGACTCTCACGGACAACTCCAACATATCATCATTTTGTCCTAGCCTTCCAAGACCATTAAAGAAAAGGTTAACCTGGTTGTTCCTACTTCTAACATTCTTAAGTAAAACGATGGTTGTTTGTTAGTTTGAGGGCTATAGCCAATCAATGGCGGGAGAAGTAATTGGAACCTGAAGCTTTTAGATTTCGCCCACTGAAAGCCTTGGACGTCCGTGATGTTTCTTGTTTTTCGACTGAACGCCTTCGCACGGTCGCACTGTGCAAATCTCATCAGGTTGAAAGGACACGAAACGAAGATGCGGAAGTCACGTCGACGTTCGCTGCTTTGGTCTACGAACAGCTGCAACCCCTGGCCTTTCCAGTCCTCTGTCGTGTCGAAGTGGTTCCAACCTTGGGGAAAAAGGGGCCCAACTGCTAAAAGTGAGGAACTGGTGAGTCTCAGTGGACACGAACTGGCACTGTACCTCCCAAAAAACTGCTGTGCATCTATGGGCTTAACTTCCACTCATGGGCTCAACCTTCCACATGGTCCTGCTGTCAGGAGTCATGAAGCTTCCTGTGAAGCTCCTGGCGTCCGTGTTTCTTTTCATCAGTCAATATGGATTTGACATATGGCATCCCCCGACTCTGATAGCTTGAACATGCCAAATATGAACATATCACTGGACTTATATATATATATATTTACACAGTGCACAGTGCGTGCTCTTTTTTGGTGTTGCAGAAACCTGAGCCCCCCCAAGTACCATAGAAAATGGAACAGGACAGGACCTCATTTAAAAAAAATAGAAACAGGTCTACGACTGAGTCTGCCATTTTCCGAGATCATGGCGTGTCCCGCACGTGCACGCCATGGGCCCCACTTGTATATCCTCCACATCCCCACGATCCGCACGCGGCGTCGTCTCCGCCCTGAGGCTTCCAAACGCTGCTCGAGTGCCGACGCCTCTCCGCTCCGCCGCGCGGTGGACGCCGCGACCGTCCGCGGGTCACGTCGCAGCGACAGAAAGCCGCAAGGCCTGGCGAGGGAGTTGCGACAACCGCGAAGGAGACAAGCTCAAACACGAAGATCTGGGAGTGGGCGTAAGAACCACCAACCAAACCAAGTGGGTCATACACCTGGGAACCTGATGGCATGGACCGGAAAACGATGGTCCGTACAGTTCGCCTGGGCAGCGCCAAAGGAGCGAAGATCAGCAAGGCACAGAGCCAACCTGCCAAGTCACCAAAGCAGGTCCCGTCCAACGTCGGTCGAGTGCATCCTGCTGCTGATAAACGCCTGCAGGAAATAGATGGCTGTCGAAGCCGAATGACCATGACCATTTACTTTGGAAAACACCTATTTACCATCCCTGGGGATCCAAGTACCTTCTCAGAAGGTGTTTGGGGTGGGTTTGGAGGGTGCAGGTGCCTTCTGAGAAGGCACTTGGATCCCTAGGGCATGACATGGTAGAAAATGCTCAAGGTCGAAAATGCCCAACGGTGGACGCTCGCGCCTCGGCGCGGCACCATGACGCGCGGGCGCTTTCGCGCGCGGCCGCCGTGGCGGACACAGCTGCGGTGGGGCCGGTGCGAAATTTCTCCGTGCAGCCCGGGGTGAAGCTTGGGCTCAGCAATCCGGAAAAAAAAGAAGCGTTGGAAGAGAATAATGTTGACTTTAAACTTCCAGGCATTCACCCATGGGTTGGAAGAATCATTGGAAGAATCATACAGAATCCCAAATAAATAGAAGTTTGTAGATCCCCACGTAGAAAGTGTCTGGGAAACCGTGCGATCCTATCTATTTGGGGATCACTACCAGGGCCCCCTGTTTGAGGTGGTTAATGGATACCCCGAATCACCTCTTGGGCCCTGGTGTAGTATAACTACCTCAAATAATGGACCTGTACCAACTCCATCCAACTCCATCGATGCCTTTTGCAAGTCCCTCTCCTCTTTGGGGCTCCCAGCGCCCCGAGTGGCGTCGGGGCTGGCCCAGCGCTCGACCTGGGTGCCCCGGTGCACCGGTGCGTCGCATGGAGTGTCACACGTCCCGGACGATGAAAGAGTTTGTACCTGAAGTCGACCCGGACACGTACCTTGAAAAGAGTAGAAGTGCTTGCGTGTTTTTGTAGAGTCATGTCCCATGTTCTCGGGTACCAACGGCGTCAGGTCCAGGTGTGCCGCAGCTTGACACAGGTTCAGGCAGTCGTTTTAGTTCGATTTCGATCGACGAGTCTTCCGGAGGGTCTGTCACCATGCATGTCACCGTCACCATGACCAGTCTCCCGGTCCCTGTCCGAAGACCACTTCGAAGACCAAACAGGTGGTGCCATCCTGTGATTGATCCAAGGAGTGCAACCTGTAAGCCACGACCCGCAAGGGGGTGGTTCATGGACACCCCGCAATTAACATCTGCGGTGCTATGACGCTAGAAATAGATACCCTCAAACGGAGGCCCTTGAGCATGGCAGCCCACAAAAGACTTTAAAATCTTGGAAGAACATCTTCTCTCGTTACAATCCAAATTAATTTGGGAGGTTGATGGAGGTTGTTTATCAAGAGTCTGGATATGTTCATAACTCATATAACAATCACAATTAGTCCAACTAGGCCCCCGAGCAAAGCTACAAACGTCAAACAGCAAGTCCTGCGTATTCTGCACCACCTCCCCACGCACGGTCAAATCTGATGGGCGACGTGGAAAGCTTCTTCCAGTACTACGCTATGACCAAACCTGTTCAAAGATCCCAAACATGCGGAACTTGTGGGTTTTGGAAGGTTTTGGATGGTTTTGGCCGTAGTTCACATGACGTGCCGCCTATGAAACCCCCCAAAACTGGTTCTTCAAAGTGATCGAACTTGATATCCTGGTTGGTTCGGTCACGAACAGGCCTGCAACAGGTCACGATCGGGGACTCCACAAAGGTCACGAACTGAAGAGGCTGGGGAACTCATGAAGGTTGCCGTAGCTATCAACTTGCAAAATGGGCTGGAGTCTTGTTTTGCAGCTGAGGCCAGCCTTCTGGAGTGATTCGTTTTCACTGGTCCACCCGACATTCACATGAAACACGCAAAAAGCGTCTGACAGGACGTCGTCTTACGTAGTCTACCACCCCCAACTCCTCTGGTTTAAGGCCGCCCCCCTGAGCCAGAGCCACGTCTGCGCCGTCTACGCCGCCGTCTACACCGCGGCGGGCCTGATGAACACACGAGTCACGCTTCAAGGTCTGAAGCAAAAGGAAGTTCAACGAAGGCACCAGCTTCTCCACGCGCTTCTTCAACCTAGTCTTCAGGCGCCAGGTCGGAGAGTGTTTTCAGGGTTTTGATCACATCGATGAAGACCCTTCGAAAGAAGCACCATCCCAATGTGCACTCTGGAATGCACTCCAACAGCTGCCGTCCAAACGCACAGACCCCCGGGCGCCAGGAACCCCTCCGGGCGAACCCCCTGGGTTCCGGGAACCCACTGCGGTCCACCCGGACTGGAAGACGATGGAAGACCAACAGGACCGTGGTTCTCAGGTTGTGGACCTCTTCCATCCCAGGGTTCCAAGGGCCTTCTGAGGTGATTGGAGGCACTGTTATGTAGGTGCCTGGGTCGGGTCCAGTCGTACCGAACCTGAGGTTCGGTACGACTGGATCCCTAGGGCCAGTAAACAGTTCGTTTTGCACCCCAAAGCACATCTTTCCGCCACATATGGCCAAAAGTCAGAGTGTGATCGTCAAATGTATGGACGTGCAGCATGGTCTCTGCACTTGATGAGATGCCACGAATCCACAATGTCCGTCATCCCAATTGCTGGTGAATCCTGTTGGAGAGTGTTTCCGGTATAGGATGTTGAATCACGTGCGTGCGTGTGCACAAATGCAGGCATGGCCGGCCATTCTTCCATGATCTTCCATGTTCGTCACCTTCCTAGAGCGCGAGTCCAATATCTTCCAGAGATTTGTCTCATGACCTTGATTTAACAGAGCGTTGGCGAGGGAATCCATAATCCAGCAAGGGGGGAACTCCAAAGGCAAACAGGAAATCTAAAAAGTAACCAAACTTGATCTCCCAGTTTGGGGTAACGAAAGGGGCCTGTAAAGGGGTCAGCAGGGACTCCAAAAAATCGGTCACGAACTGAAGAAGCTGGCACGCGTCTGGTGGTTGTGTTGAGACACACCCTCATACCCATACCTGCCCATGGCCTGTGCCTGGATGGCCTGGCTGCCAGGCTTTTCCCCATACAGTTTCCACCTGTTCACCAATCAAGTCTGACGACTGCACCTTCTTAAAAAAGGAGGCGACCTGCAGGTGATCTGCCGACTTCCTGTGGATTTAACTATACCTTTTCGTGCCATCCAATCCACCTCCCGCCCGAGAAAAGACCTCCCACTCGTTCCGGCGCCAAACCCCACTCGTTCTGGCGCGGTCCGAGTGACCCAAGCAAGCTCATTTCTTCCACACTCAGCGATCCATCGTTGCTTTCCCTCAGCGATTCGCTCGGAGTTCAGCGGCACGGCCGGGGGGATTCGGGCCTCCCCCAACGAGGTCGGCTGAACAAGGAGAGGATTCGGAAAGGGACGCCTTCTCACGGGACCGCGAGGTCGTCCGGACGAAAACGAGGCACTCATCACTGCACGTGGCACTCATCCCATTCGGGGAAAAGTGATCATCTCTCAATTCGATTCTATAGACTCTATAAAACATGGATTGGCAATGATCATGTTCAGTACCCGGTTCGCTGATTCCGAGGAAATGATATCCAACGCTATGTTTTCAGTGTCCTTTGAATCTGGTCGACTCTATACCTACTTACCTGGCAAAGGGAACCTGCCAGAGCCGAAAAACCCTATCGAGTCGCTCTCCACCCAGCGGCGGCGCAGTTCGACCCAGATACTCCAGGAAGCCTTGGATCCTTTGGCTGACCCGCCGTGCGCGTGAGAGCACCTCCTGCGACCATCGCCATCGGATCGCCAACCACCCGGATGCTCCAGCCCGACAGGTCCTGAACCAAAACCCATACCAGGGGCCCCACAAACCGTCCAAAACCAGGTTTCCCTATCAAAAAAACATGGTTCTTGTATGTGAAAACCAGTGTTTGTCATGGTTTGGTTCGGGCCCCTGGTACTCGAAACCCCAGACCTGTTGGGGGCGGCCGCGAGACCAGGTCGCGTCGGACCCCCGAACTACCCAGGATCCGCGATCTCGAAGCTGCCTGTGGGGTGAAGGATCCTGTGGGGTGAACCCAGGCAGTACCTGGTGAAGAGGCCCATGGGCCCATCATGGGCCTGTCCCCTTCCCTGTGGCACCACTGATGGGTCTTGATATGTCTGCATGGATGCCCTAGCCTTCAAAGACCATGACAAATGGTTGACCTGGTGTAAACATGGAGACTGAGTTTGGTGGTTTAGATGAACCCATCGACCACTTGCGGGGTTCCAGTACCATCTACTCGACGGCGTTTTGGGGCGCGTGTGACCTGTACCCCTTTTGAGCGCCACCCCAGTGAGAGGCGGCAAGAAGTCCGCGACCAGAAACACAAGATCCTTCAAACGTAGTGCAAACATAGGATTAATAAACCTCCCAGACCTTCTAGACCTTCTATGTGGGTTGGGTGGTTGATTCATCCGGTCTTTGCATTACTCATGAAAGCGGAGCAATCCTCCGCGTGAGAAAAGAGGATCACACGACTCGTGAGACCGAATCCCCGATTCAACGAACCTCCATGGCGTGAAAGCGATGTAGGCATTCCCTTAAGGCCATGGGACTTCTTCATTCAGCCTGGCTAGCCAGGAACTTGCTCTAAGTCTCACCTGTCGATCCGGATGGTTCGACTAAGGGGTGAATTTAAGAATTGCTTTAATAGATTAGATCTGTTCAGGGGCCATGCAAGTGAATATCATATATATGAGTTCTATTGAGTTCTCTTATATACAGTTTAAGACGTCTTTACATTGTGATTTTAAGATGTGATAAGATATTGTCGATCTAGGTCAATCTTCCAGCCTCATTGTCCCATGGATGGTCTGCGATGACTTGAATGAATCTTCACGCACCGGGCTTCCTCTGAAGAGATCAAGGACCATGTGCCCACGAGCAGCGAGTTCATCGCACAACAACAGCGTGGCAACGAGAGTACTATGGACTTTGGGGATGAAAGCGGGATCGATGAATTGATGAAAACCATTCCAACGAGCTGCTTGGCTGCTCAGTGTCGCCAATATCACAACGCTTTACCACCAATAGAATGCCTTTACATTGACGAAGGATGTTGATAGACAATTATTCAACATGGCATGTCTGATGTCTTTAGCTAGCTTCATCTCACGCAACTCCATCTCGCCGTTCCACAGTATATGTCTGGGGATGTATGTTGTCGAGGTACGAACTCCTGGTAGACCATGTCCCGCTGTTTCTTCCCTATTTCCCTAAAAACTTTGCAAGCCTTGTTGCTGTCATTCGATCATGTCTTTTGCCAGCATCTATGGCCCAACATCTTCGGCTCATCTTGGGGCCAATCAGCTGGCGGCGCAGGACACGACGC